AGAAGTTTCGTCAGTTTCTGCGGTTGCTTGGGTGTCGCTCCAGTGGCCATCTTGGTCGACCATCGATGTTGGGATCAAGAGAGTTGTGGGGAAGAGTCGACTGGAGACCGGACCAATTAAGTAGGGAGTCCCGGGCAACTACTGGAGCGCTACGAGGGGTAGTATGGAGCCTCTCACGAGCGATGGGGGAACCCACAGACGAGCGGAGGGCGCGTTGGACAATTGCAGTTTCAAGTTCCTCCCCTTTCGTGTCACCCACTTCCCATCAGGATTGAATCCAGCGTTAATTTCCCACGGTACGGCTCAGCCATCTTGCCGGATGTCAGGTTCCCAAGCAAACGCGACTGAAAGCGACGACAAGCTCAATGTATTAAACGTTGAGGAATTTTTGTGAGAAACTGAGCGTAGCTAACGAGAAATAAAATGAAATCAGGAAGTGGTATCAATCGTCGTCGTCGTCGTCAAGCGTCACTCCAAGGTCGTTGCCAAACGGGTCTTCCCCACTCAGGGTGTTTCGAATCTCATCCGCTTTCTTCGTTCGCTTCTCTGCAGCAAGCCTCTCTTCCGCAGCTTTCTTCGCAAGATACGCTGACGAACCCACCACCTTCTCCGGATTCTTGCAAAGTTTTAAACGCCGGTCTACCTCCCTGATCATGTCCACCCCCGGTAACTTGGATCCTTCCTGTAGCATGGCGCTGAGCGGATTTATGAAACTCCCGTCAGACCCTTTCGATCTCATCCACGTGTCTGCGACTGGTGGCGACGCTAGCGAAATGCAGGCGGCCGCAATTTGCGCCGGACTATAGACGAACTCGGCATCCGTCAGCCTCGAGGCACGCACGTGACCCATTGCTTGATTGTAGATTTGTTCCAGCTCAGGTGGTGGGAGTTGTGTTACGTTCTTGGAAAAAGACATCAGGGGTGCAAATGTTTGGAACATCCGAGACCAGCTGACCTGGAGATCTAACCACGCTCCCCACAGAGCCCGGTGGGGATGCCACAGGGCGAAATCGAAGCCAAGGCTCTGCGCCACAAGAAACTCCAACTCGAGCACATCTGCCGGTTCTGTCCTTGGGATATGGGCGGCGTATGAATCCAAGGAAATAGGATTATTTGTGGTTTTCGTCGCGAGGAACAGGGCCGTCAACCTATCCACCAGGAAAAGAGCTGAGTAAGCCACGTAAAACACACGGAATCATTTTCGATTGACCGTACATCACATTCTTCGGGTGCCAATCCATCACCGTGTTCGTCAGATAGAACCGTTTGATGTATGTAGTCGCGGTTGCCTCGACTTCTTCTGGGAAACGGAAGTGGCCACAGAGCTGAACCGCCTTGGTCAGGTAGTGTCGGACCAGTAGAAGTTCTTCATCCGCGCTCAAGAACAAGACGTCTTTCGACGACCCAGGCTACCTCAGGATCAGAGAGATGGAGCATACCCAGAAGGTGAGCGAACATGCCGAATCGTTTTCTATGACCCTCCGCACGGCCTCAACGGCGGCAACGTTTAGCGCGGAACGCTTTTGTGCGAGCTGTTCTTTGGAGAACCGCCAGTTTCTGAACTGCGTGCTACCCTCGTACAGAGGCTTCTTCCCGGACTCTGGGGCAGTGGGTGCAGGTCCGGACATGCTGGAACTGGGATTGTCACTGAGGAATGGAATCCAAGTGTTGCGTCGGTGGAATGAATGATCGTGCAACGGTGATATTGATTCCGGCCAAAGACCGCACTCGGAATCTCGGATATCACAGCATATCCGATCAGAAACTTCGGATCATCTTCCGTCTTTTCTGCCATTGCAAGAATGAATGGCGCCGGAACGTCAACAGAGTTCAGCGTCACTCGTTTACCCACGAGTTTCTCAACTGGTAAACCCGCGGGCCACTGGGGTGTATCGTTTGAAATTCTTACATCACACAGTTAGCCCTTTCAAACTCTCCCGCAAGGAGCGATACCAATCTTGCCATTGAATCTTGAGTCACGCCTCCGCTTCGGGAATCTCATCTGGGGCTAACGCTGAATCCCCTTATGGAGGTTTCCGGAAACCGCTTACGATGGAGGAAGTCCCACAATCCCGGGCTCCAATCATACTAAACATCCTCATACTGCTGCACATTTCCTCGACTTGCTAGTTAAACTCAACTGTGTCTCCCAATTAACTGTCGGAACACATCGTGCGTCAAACAAGCCCATCACGAAATTTTGTTCACACGAAGAAATGCCGCAATCTTTGCTCGGGGGTCAGGGTCACCTTGCAGAAAAATCTTCACATCAACGGAGTCAGTACTCCACACATCTCGTATATGTCTCTCAGATCTCAACGTTCAATGCTGTTCGATAATTCCGAAGCACACGGACAAGTTCGTAACGCCGGGCTGAACGATCATCAGCTCCCTTTCGAGGTATCTCGTCGGAACTATCTTCAGGCTCTCGTTGATGACCGCAGTAGCGATCGGGCTACTGCCCATGCAGACTGCCGGGTTTTGCTGACGACCTGCCGGCAACAGATCCGTTCTATGTGGGGTCACGATGGAACGTACGAGACCGGCTCCAGACCGTTGAAAATGATTGTACTCGTCATAGCTTGAAGGTCGACTGAACTGGCAGATATTCCGGGTGGTTCGCAGCGTGATGCGGAGACAGTGAGCGCCTGTCGGTAGAAAGCAGAAGGCCGTCAGGTATTCGAGCCGCTCAATTCCCCTACACCATTCGTATGTAGCCTAGTGCTGAGCCCGGGGGGCCAACCACAACCAAGTCAGGTAGCGCTACTCGTTTGCGGTAAAGCAATGAAAGGGACGGAGAATGATAGTGACATGGTACGCTCAGACTCGTTGTCCGTCTTCATGTTATCCACTTCCTCGATCAGAGGTCGGGGCCTGGATGTAGAAACCCACCGATACATAGTGGGGATAACTTGCACCGGCGGCGTCTCCACGACGTCCTCAGCCTCACCTTCTAGCGGTGTATCAACCTGCAGAGGTGCGTTTCGTTTCGTTTTGGACCGGGACTGTTTCTTGAGCAAACGGTTGATAGTCTCGGCCTTGGCCAAAGCAAGTCAGAAAAGCTGAAAATCGCGTAGGTGCCAGTAAGGCCTCACCTTTTCGTCCTCCAGTTTCTTCTCGGTCAAGTTTTTGCGTTTCCGAGCGGTTTCCTCTCGCTTTAACGCGATCTCGAGTTCAGTCAGCGGTTTCTTTTTTCTGCCCGAAGCAGGCTGGTCTGGGAGGGCATGAGTGTCTGTAAGAAAACTACAGCGAGCCTGGGGCCCGTAACTTACTGAGGGACACGTGTGTGGGATCCACGACATTTGCAAGGACGGCTTGACGAGCGGTCAAGGTACGCCCACCGCCAACTACTGATGCCGAACGAGTCGAAGGGTCGACCGAATCCGAGTCTTCAGACTCTATCTCATCTTCTTCCTCCTCATCTACAATCCGTCAGAGGCGAACTTGTGCAGTAAATACAAGCCAATCACACCTCTTGATGTACGACGAGATGACGCCACCGACGCCGTAAGGTGAGGAAGTTTGAGTTTGATCTTTATTTTGGAGAGCGCAGGAATCGGGGGCTCCGATTCCTGGTCGGACTCGAGCTCGTCCGCTTCTGACTGTCCGAAGGGAGACGATTAGACACAGTCCTGGTCATAAGCCACGGAATACGTACCGCCTCTACATCTTCCTCCTCCTCCTCAACCTCTTCCTCCTCTTCTTCCACTGCTGACTCCTCGTCATAATCAACTATCCGCATTGCGCGAGTCCTCCGCTTTGAGGGAGTGTTTGTGACAATGTCTTCCTGGTCCTCTGATTCTACCTGGACCGACATGTCCATCTCTGTTTGTTTGTTTTTTCAGTTAGCAAGGCGTGGATCACAAAACGCTGTATGCACTCACCGCTAGCGGCATCATCGAGTTCCTCCGAAATGATACGCCTTCGCGAGCTTGAGGCCATAAGCGAAAGCTGCTGGATCGTGATCACGTGCATCCACAAAGAAGTTCAACCCAAGTTCAACGAGAGAGGGAGGCGGCACGAACACGACACCGCTCTCTTTCAAACGCCTGTAAATACGCGTCGCGGTACAATGATCTATACGGAAATGAGGATACAGATGAAACCTTATCCAGCGGCTGATTCCTCGAGCAGAGGGGTTTTATGGTCTCTCCCCCTCCGGATGGTCCTTCTTCCAAGCACGAATCCACTCCACGATCCTCGCAACGTTCGACTCCAAGTCTTCGGTGCATTCGCTTTTCAATTCCACTACAATTTCAGGCGCATAGGAATCACGAGCCTCCTGAGCGATGACTTCCATGATCTCAGCCTCGTTATTTTCAACAATCTTCTTGTTAGGATATTTTCTACACTTGGGGATCAGGGCCGACGAATGGTGGACGTGACCGTCACCACAACTCACCGTTCCTCGAGCCTCTCCCATAATTTTGTATGATCGCATCTCAAGACCACGACCAGGTCTACCCAACGCTCTGGCCAGGGTTCGCAAGCGTGCCAGTCGAGAATTATTCCGCCAGCGGTTGCCGACGGCTCTAGCTCGTCAATCAACTAACAGAAGCGTTAATGGGATAATCTAATCATCGCATCGCGGGATTTCTTGCCTTGTCTTCGTCGACGATATAGCTGTCCCATTCGGCGTCGAAATTTTCGTACAGTCCCCTTTCCTTGACGAACTCGCTCACATTAATGTGCCGCAAGCGAACAGGGGATTCTTGGACCAGTAGTTCGGCATGAGTTGACTTTCCAGTTCCGGGTGTTCCAGTGATGACAATGACTGGTGAAACCTTTGTGGTCGATGCCATGCTCTGGGCTAACGCATCTCGCAGTCTCCGTTCCGCGGGTCTGATGATAGACCGATCATCAAAACAAGATGCACCACCAGTCAAAATCACAGGCAATTTATGCCTTGGCTTTTCACTCGTTATGCCCACGCGTTGATAGATAACTAATCTCTGCCATTATGTACTTCAAAAAAAGGTGGTCCAGGGGAGAAAAATTAATGCCATGAACCCGGATCGAACGGGTGACCTGTAGAACTTCAGTCTATCGCTCTCCCAACTGAGCTATCACGGCTTGTAATGTTGAATTATTATGCATTACATGACCTAGCATTATCAACACACCCCACAAACCATGTGCGCTTCTCTCCTTGCACTCGGTGCCTTGGCGCGATTCTTGTGGCTCCAGACGCCTTTTTTCCATGGGGGATCCGCAGTGTCAACTTTGGTGGGCTTCAACCCCTAAATTATTGCAAGCATCAAGGCGTTACGGTCGCAAGCACCATGATTGCATTCGTAAGTAGATGTTCGAAGCAAATTGGATTCTGCGCGAATGAACACAACTCTGATAACGAAGCTGCATGAATGCGTCCATGCGGGTCGCCAACGGCACCAATGCACTGAAGAGATTTGCGATATACACAACGAGAGGGAACGGAAATACACAACAAACGGAGTACACAAAGAGTTACTTCTTCTTGTTAGCCTCCTCCTCTTCCCGCTACGAGAGAGAGAGATGTCGTTAGTGATGTCAATCAGGTGGACGATCATAAGGTGCATTACCTTGGTCGCACGTAACTTGCGTTGACCCTCGTGCCTGGCACGGAACTTAGCATCACGGAGGGTCCTGGCGGCCTCGAAGTTGCGCTCCTCCTCTGTGATTTTGCGTGGTGCCTCAGCGGCAGCCAAGGGTGGGAGGGCCAGATTAATACGGGTAGTGGGGGCCTTGAGGTCGTCACCCTTTGCGAGATTCAATAATAGTAAACGAACAAAAGAGAGGGGACATACAGTGGAGTCGCCCTTCTTGGGCTTGCTGGCCTTGCGGGGGAAGATGATGAGTTTGGCCTTGTAAGCCTTGAGCCTCTCAACGTTCAGAACCTTGCCCTCCTCGCTCAGGTTCCTCCTCCTGTGATCAACGACGATACCAACACCACGAGCCTCCTTTCTACCAATGCCAGCCTCCTTTAGTTCAGCGAGAGTAAATCCGCGTCCCTCCCTAAGTTTTCTGTTATAGCGGACTGTTTGGGCACGAACGGCGGGTCGGAGTAAGGTGAGAGGGCGAACACCGAGGGAGGCTGCCTTGGCCTTGCGGGCTCGTCTCCTGCGGACTTTGGAGCCTGGTTGATCGAACCAGGTGCGAACTCGGCGTTGCCAGTCTTTTCGGAAGTGGTTTGCGTGGAGAACTAATAAGAAAGATAAGTACCGTGCGTCCCAACCTCATCGCGTAGGCGAGCTATACCGTTGTTGTGCTTGAACCCCATTTTATCGTCTGTGAGTCAAAAGCGGTATCAGCAATCGGTGTCATCCAAATCATCGATCCCGAATCCATCCATTAACCCGCCAAAACTCCTCAAAGAAACCGCACAGGTAGGTTTGCGAAGGTTTCTGGCATAGACAGGGATCTCTGAAAGTCGCGAAAGTGCTCACCTTGAGGATGGGTGGGGGCGGGTACAGTATCGGTGAGGTGTGTTGACCCAAGGCCAAATTGGGCGAAGCCACAGATCACGTGATGTGCGGGTGCAGCCGATATTTCCACGGTCACTCGGAGTCGCTTTCATTTCAAATGGACTCGAGGGCAAATCCCTCGGAGAAAATTCAATGATCTGTCTGGAGGGCTAGAGGCGCAGAGAATATTGCGACACTGGCTCTCACCATTCCGCGTCACCCGCGAAATTATTAGTGATAGCAAAAGAGCGACCAGAATCGGACGCGAGGGCATTGCGATGCACTGCCGAGGACGTATGATGGTGATTGGTGGGGTATGTACTGGAAGTGGAACCCCGAGAACGCCGTGTGATCGAGTCGCACGAGCCTGAGGCATACCCCAGGCAAAATTTCGACCCTACAATAGGTTGCAGGAGAGTCGTCATTCCAAACCGCCCCAGTGCCCTCGGAAGCCTGCGAAGAATTGAAGTCAGCCATTGGATACAGTCGTCAAGAGACGTACATTGAATCGACGTGATGGCGGTGGCGGAAGCTTGATCTCGAGAACAGCCTCTCAAATGTCAAGCGGTAATGTAGGCGACTGGTTTCTTCCCACTCAGTCCCCACTCCTTCTCTTCCTTCCCCTACCTTTCCTGCGACGAGATGCTGCCACGGGAATTTCTCCTCTCTTCCCTCTTCCTTCTCAGTTATGTTCTTCCCTCGGCTTACTCGACTTTCACGTACGAATTTGGCGCGCTAGGCTCGTGCGACAATCTCGAGGTTTCCTGGACCGGTCAGTCCGTCCACTTGATCCCGAATCATCATCATCTCACTCTTCCGAACAGGTGGCCAGGGCCCCTTTGAACTTCTTTTAGTCCCGGTATTCACTTCTCCTACGTCACCACAAAGAGTCACGCTCATGCCACTCTTTCCCACAGGTCTTTGGAACCCCGAGGACTTTTCAGATTCCAGCCTCAGCAGTAAACAACAGCAAGGGCGTTTACAATGCATCAGTCAACTTTCCTCCAAGTCAGAAAATGTTCCTCGTCATGTCTGATGCGACCGGCCTCGGATCCGGTGGCACCAGTTTAATCTTGGAGGTCGGACCGTCCGTCAGTGGAAATAATTGCAACACCACAGATCCTGGGGTGGACTTCTTTTTCAACCTCGATTCGGCCCTCACACAATGCAGGTGAGTACGCCACTTCTGAACGTTCCGTCGCCCCTTCCTAACGTTCTCTCACAGAACCTATGTGTTCAGCGGCTATGACGAGGCGGTTCAACCAATTACGATTGCTGTCAGTCGCTAGCCCTCAATGTCTCATCAGTTGCCCTATTTCGTGAACTCATACGCATGTCAGGGATTCATCCCGGGGGGGAACACGTTCCAACTTAGCCCTCCAACGGGGCCTTCAGCATATAATTGGCAAGCTGACTTGGAAGCCGGGACCTCCGTTATCTTTGCCATGACCGATTCAAAAGGCCGAAACGGTTAGTGTCATTCCCTTTCTCCTAGGCGCCCATTGTTAAATCCCTTGTCCAGGCGGTTCGTCCGACATCAAACTTGTCGGGACTTCCGGTGATAGCAGCTGTCTCAATTCTACTTTCCCCACATCCACCTCCAATCCTCCGACTGCAACCTTAACTTTGCCAACAAACTCCTCGACCCCTTCGACCGGTCAAGGCGGCAAGAAAAATAGCGGACCGAACGTTCTTACTCTTGCTCTCGCGTCCCTAGGAGGCGTCCTAGCTCTTGCAATCGTCGCTGTCCTTATCTTTTATTTCCAAAGGAAGAGAAAGAGAGAAGGTGCCTATTCGGAGGGTTCATACCCGTTCCGGGGAAAGCGTGGCTCCAGAAGGTTGTCTCTAGACCTCGAGGAACCACGGCTCGTCGACAACACTCGCGACGATCAAGCTGTATCGTACATCACGCCATTCTCAGACACCCAGGCCTCTTCAAGCTCAGATCGCTTGCGTCACTCCCGAGAAGATTTCCAGGACGCGCATCTCGTCCCACCCCGTTCCGGGCCTACATCTTCGAATGGGCGGTCAAAAGCATCACAAGCCAGCTCCTTCAGGCAGCCCCGGTACGTCGTGCACACGGATGTGGAGGATGCTATACCAGAAGACGGCGACGAGGAAGTCATCGAGCTTCCCCCAACGTACAGCGAACGGAGAGGACCAGTACCACCCTCCGAACATCCGACCACATACCAGTGACCGTTACCCAATCACCCGGACTTTTCATTTCTTTCATTCGTTTCGTTTGTGTTATGCGTGCGGAACGGAGACCCTTTGGATTACTTCACTCAGTGGCAGATGAGTTCACGTATTTAGAGGTTTACTCTCTGCTTGGACATTTCTATTATCTATTCGTTGACATTACCCTTTGACTTCGACTTTTCGGTCGTCCGGCATAAATTGCTGATGCTGAACGTTACGTCCATTCTTTACTCATATAATCCTCTCATTTCCGTCCTCTCCAGCTGTCTTCCTTCTGCGAATGTTTTCTGCTTCATCTTTTCGGACTCGAGATCATTTAAAGTATGTAACATTTGGTGTTTCACCGGTTCTAGTCAGTGGATGTATAACACAGGGCAATATTATCTCAGAACATGGTAGGAGGGATATCGGGGTCGGGCAGTGTTCGTCGTTCGAAAACGTCAGGAAAGAATTCAGACTGAGTCCTGTAGGTTTAAATTCTGTACCAGGCATGTTGACCCAAGACCGAATCGAAATTGGGCAAAGCCATAGATCGCGTGACGCGCGGCTGCAGCCAATATTCCCACGGTCGCTCAGCCTCCCAGTAGGTTGAAAACCCCTACGAGGTAAACCGCACCCCTCACGTGCGAGCGCTACCCCGTCACGCGGCTCCACAAAAAAAACGGTCGCTCAGCCTCGGAGTGACAAATTCCCGAGAAATGGATTTATCTGGAGGGTTAGAGGGGTGGTGAATATTAAAACACGGGCTTCACCATTCCGCGTCACCTCCGCGAAATGATAGCAAATGAGCGCTTGAGCGACCAGAATCGGACGCGAGGGGATTGTGATGCACTGCCGAGGACGTATCATGATGGTGATCGATGTCGATGGGCGCCTGGGCCCCCAGTGGATCCTCGAGAACACCGCGTGATCGAGTCGCACGAGCCTGAGCATACCCCAGGCAAAATCCCGACGCTACCACAGGTTGCAGTGGAGGCGTAGTTCCAAACCGCCCCAGTACCCTCGGAAGCCTACGAGGAATTGGAGTCAGTCATTAGATCCAGTCGTCAAGAGAGGCGCATCGATTTAACATGATGGTGGGCGGGAGCTTGATCTCGAGAACAGCCTCTCAAATGTCAAGCGGTAATGTAGGCCACTAGTTCCTTCCTACTCAACCCCTACTCTCCTTCTCTCCCTTCCCCTTCCCTTCCTGCGACGAGATGCTGCCACAGGGATTCCTCCTCGCTTCCCTCTTCCTTCTTAGCTGTGTTCTTCCCTCAGCTTACTCGACTTTCACCTACGAATTTAGCACGCTAGGCTCGTGCGACGATGTCGAGGTTTCTTGGACCGGTCAGTCCGTCCACTTGATTCTGAATCATCATCTCACTCTTCCGAACAGGTGGCCAGGCTCCCTTTGAACTTCTTATGGTCCCGGTATTCACTTCTCCT